AACTGCACATGTGAGCCCTGGGAAACTGGCAGACAAGGGTCCCATGCCAGCCCTGCCCTTGCTAGTTATGTCTAGATCTTCATCTCCTCATCTGTATGTCAGGGAAATCAAAACTGGCATTGTGTTCAAGACTGAAAGAGGCAATGTCTGAAAAGCACATGGCCCTGTGCAGGTGAGTGCTCAGTAAATAGTGCACATTCTTGTCACTGGTCCCACCTTCATCTTACAGAACTGATAATAACCACAGCCACAGATTTTTCCAGTTCAGTCTCATCTCAACTGGGTGCTACAGATTTGCCATGAAATACTTTCAGGGATTTATATAGATAACTGCAGACCTCTTGACACCTTTATTTCTTGGGCAAATTTCAAGAATTTGAAAGCTGTATCACATCTTCCTCTACACATATCTAAAGGCTTTGGGCTCATAAAATATAGGGGATGGGTTGAAATGAAGTACAGTGGAAAATAAGAATTGAATTAAACACTGCTGAATTCAGTACAAAGTTTAATCCTCAAAGTCTTCTTCAGCCCCATCCTACTTGCACCATCCTTAAACCCCTACCTCACACCCTTCCAGCACTTCCAGAACTGCACACAGTTCCATCTAAGGAAGACTGACACTCTCAAGTGCTTACCTCTCAGTGCCAGGCCAACTTAGGATTTCAAGAATTTCAATAACTTAGAGAGATGGCAAAAGAGAGAAGGAGAAGGCCTGAGAAGAAAATGAAGGGACATGTAGACATCAGAAGGGCATGGAGAATGTCATGGAAAGGAAAGGGAATGGAAGGTGAACAGAAGAGGTGAGAGAAAAAGGTCTGAGGGGCTTAACTTGCAATGACACACCAGGTGGATCTACAATGGGTGGGAAGTTAGAACAGGCAAACAAAAGAATGAGATAAAGCACTACTTTGGCCAATAATGCCCTCCCAGGAGCTTTACACTTTAAGAGAAATCCAAACCCTTAAAATCCTTTGCTAACATAGAAAAGGATCTGACATTTCTGTCTGTTCATCAGAAGGGTTTGAGCTCTGCATTTGCATACAGCATACCTAATTTTATTGTACTTCACAGATACTGCGTTTTATACAAATTGAAGCTCTGTGGCAACCTTGCATCTGGTGAGTCTATTGGAACCATTTTTCCAACAGGACGAGCTCACTTTGTGTATCTGTGTCACATTTTGGTAATTTGCACAACTTTTCAAACTTTTCTGTTACTATTATCTGTCATGGTGATCTGCAATCAATAATCTTTTTTTTTTTTTTTTTTTTTTTTTTAAGACAGGGTCTCACTCTGTTGCCCAGACCGGTGTGCAGTGGTGTGATCATAGCTCACTGCAGCCTCCAACTCCTGGGCTCACGTAGAGTCACAGGGTGCTGTGCCCTGGGTTTTGAAAGAGAAAAAGAGTACAAATGGCCTTTCTCAGCTGCAAGGCCAGCTGCCTTAGCCTCTCGAGGTGCTAGGACTACAAGCACCTGCCACCACATCTGGCTAGTTTATTTTTATTCTTTTTGTAGAAACATGGTCTTGTTATGTTGCCCATGCTGGCCTCAAACTCCTGGCCTCAAGCAATCCTCTAGCCTCAGCCTCCCAAAGTGCTGGGATTACAAGAATGAGCCATCATGCTCGGCCAATAATCTATTTCATATTGCTCACTCTAGAAAAATTTCTTTTGTTATTCCAATAAATTTGGAGGCTGGAAGAGAGGAGGTAAACTGAAGGACTCCAGTCACAACTATAACATTGGTAAAAATCTAGTATTGTAAATTCCCTCTCACTCCCCTTCAACTAACAGAGCTCTAGTTACAGCAATGATACTGGCTTAGTCATTTAGATCTCCCTAATCCCATTTCTTTTTTGATCTATAAATGATAACAATTTTAAGACCCATCACAAAGTTATTATGAAGATTAAATAATAATAATATACCAAAACTTAGCCTGGCCAAAATATATTTTTCTATTAGAAAGTTAATCTTGTATTTCTAGAATGTATGTTATCCTACTTAATCATGGATTAATGTTCCTGTCATATGCAGTTGGTATTGCTTTCTCCATAATTCTTTGAGACTTTTGAATCTATTTTATTCTCATTTTGCCAACTGTTTGATACTAGGTTCATGCTAACTGTATGAAATAAATTTGGATGATTTTTCTACATTCTGGGACAGTTTAAATAACTTTAAATATTTCACGAAATTTTAAAACAATCCACTTGTAAAACACCTGGACTTGCAGTCATTTTAAAAAAAAGAATTCTTTGATAATTTTATAAAAGACTGTAGGCTAGGTGCACTGGCTCATGCTTGTAATCCCAGCACTCTGGGAGGCCAAGGCAGACAGAGACTGCTTGAGCTCAAGAATTCAAGACCCGCCTGGGCAACATGGCAAAACCCTGTCTCTACAAAAAAGTAAATAAATAAAAGATTGCAATGATTTGCTAGTGCAGATTTCTTAAGCCAATTTTTATCTTTTCCTAGAAAACAGTCCATTTCATTAAGATTTTCAAATTTATTAGCATATGACCATAAAGAATGTATTTATAATTTTTTAAACTTATTTATCCTAAATATTTTTGTTCATGTTCTTGTCTTTCTGTTTTTTGCTATATCTATATAGTTATTTCATTTTTCTTTTTCAGTGTTTTGAGAATATTTATGTTATTTTTATTTTAATAATTTCCTTGGTATTTTCCCGATGCATTCTTTATCCTACATTTTTCTAACAGTGAAATGGAACACTTTGACTCTTTCTGATAATGTAGAATATTGTACTTAACAGCTCCTCTTTCATCTCTACCCCAATCTCAAGGCCCCATCAATTCTCAGTTTTTGTTAACAAAGGCTAAGATAATCTTACCCCGATACCACTAACATGTTGCTTTTCCCATTATTTAAAAGCAATTATTTTTCAAATAAAAGGTCTCACATATTTGTTACTAAACCACCCTACTAGTGCAGAGGATATAAACAAAGAGAAAAAACATTTTCCCATTGGAACACATCTGACTCTTGGTGACATTTTCAGCCTGATATGGTAAGATGACAGTGATCTTGATACAGCATAAATATGTATGCCATCTCATTTGCAATTCTGTACAGACCCAGCATGGTTCTTCCCCAGTGTCTCCTCTTGGGACTGTACCTGATTTTATTACCAGTTTTCATCTGAATACACTAGAGAATAAGGCAATTTTGTTTTTGTTTCTTGGCCTAAAATCACTTGACCCTGAAAGACTTGTGAGAAGACACGGTGAGAAATGGAGTTAACTGCACACATCATGATGACTGAGAAAGGAAGAGCAAGGGCGCTGCTTTTCCCACTATTTATCCTTTGGGGGATTTTAGCATCTCACTCCATCTTATAAACAGAGTTATAACAATTATTTAAATTAATATCGAATCTGTCTCAGTGTTCACTGCTGTCTTTTGGCATGAGGTTGATTTAATCAACTGTTTTCTTTTGTCTCTAAGTTGATTAATCTTTAAGTCATTTTTTTTCTCCAGAATAAATATAGACATCATATAATTTCTCAACACTCGAATGTCTGAAGATGTCTTTCCATCGTCTTCACCTATAAAAGGCAACTTCGGTAGGGATAAATTCTTGGATTAAAAATCTTCTCTAGAGCTCCCTATTACCTTCCAGCATTCTGTATGGCTAGCCTGGTTTTTCCTTTCTTGTAAGTAACTGGCTTTTGTTTGTGCTTTTATCCTTATAGCTTACCATTTGGCTAGGATGCATCTAATTATAGAGCCCCTTTCTCATAGGTTTTTCTGGAACATGATGAGCCCTTTCAATCTGTACATGTAGCTCTTTGGCTGCCAGAATCTTTATTCAACTATATTTCTGAATAATGCTTCTGCTCTACTTGTTCTGTTCTCTTTTTCAGAAATGCCAAATGCCGCCATACAGAAGTGCCAGGCTCTATCCTAGTAACTGCCATCCATTCTTGCTGGTAGCATCTCTATGTACTCTGAGTTCCAAGAGAGCTTTTCGTTTGTTCTTTCTCGTCATACTACTCCTATTTTATGAAGTATCAATCATGTTATTTTTGTTTCTAATGTGCACTTTGGCTTCTGCATTTTTATTATTTTTAAATTATTTTTTGAGATGGAGTCTCACTTTGTTGCCCAGGCTGGAGTGCAATGGCATGATCTCGGCTCACTAAAACCTCCGCCTCCCAGGTTTAAGTGATTCTCCTGCCTCAGCCTCCCAAGTAGCTGGGATCACAGGCACCCACCACCATGCCCAGCTAATTTTGTATTATTAGTTGAGACGGGGTTTCACCATGTTGGTTAGGCTGGTCTTGAACTCCTGACCTTAGGTGATCTGTCCGCCTTGGCATCCCAAAGTGCTAGTATTACAGGAATGAGCCATTGTGCCTGGCCTTCTGCATTTTTAAGTTTCTATGATTTCCACCATACTCACTTCAGCCTGTTCTTTCCTATGACTTTCTATTTCTACTTCAAAAATGGCACATTTTCTTATATTTTTTTTAAAGAGGTCTAATACTTTTTTTGAAAATTTCTTCTAAATCCTGAAACAGAGCTTATACACTGATCATATATGATTTCATGGCTCTTTAAAACAATATTCCTCAGTATCCTGTCCTAAGTCCCAAGTCTCACCACCTTCACTCACCCAGATCTCTGGCCACTTTACTCATCTTTGGCTATATCAAGAGATATTTCCGGTAACAGGAATATCTTTTGTTTACCTTTAACTACTTAAAGAATGTCTTGTATTGTATATACATGCTCCAAAATAATTATTTTGAAAAAAAAGTAAGTTTTTAATCCTGTGAACAGCACAATAAAAAATAATTTTTTTATCCCACAAAGAGCACAATTTAAAAAATCAATATCTGTTAATCTAGGATATAGTATATAGAAAAGTTATGATATCAAGATGATAAAGATACATACATACTTCTGCTTCCAAAAGGAAGGATTCTAATATATTAAGAAAATGAAAAAACAGTATTCTTTGACCTTGTTCTCAAATAAGCACCAAATTTATTCCAAATAATAACATAATTTTAAGAATTTTCCTAATATATTTTTATAAAAAGTAACTTCAGTGTCATACATTGTAGAAATGCCATCTTCTACATTAGTACTACCTAACTTGAACTGAAGCATTCCAAAAGTTATAATACCTTCTACAGATTTCATTTTTAAAATTCAAAAAAATCATTTATTTTTCATGATAAATGATGCTATTGATAACTTTACTTAGTAGAATTGTAGTTACTTTGGTAATTTTTACATGTTTATAAATAAGCACCACATCTACTGTATTAAAAAATAAGCCAGTCTAATGGCTTGCACTGGAGACCAGGGAATTACATTTTGTTAAACCCAAATTGAACAGAGTTGAATTTAGATTAATACAGAGAAAGGCATGCTCCGGGTTGGTTGTCCTTTGTATTTCTTGAAGCATCAGATGAATCGTAAAAAGTTCAAAGAGCTTCTTATTACTCCTGTAAATAAATGAATGTATTATTTAACTACACATATTTAGGGTGTTCATCTGCAATGACAATTTACGTGTAAACATTAGGAAATAGCATCTATTTATAAAAACAGTGGAGAAAATAAGCGATTAAAAGATTAGAATGCTATAACAAACAATATGGATTTATGAGATAAACTGAAGCAGAAAAGCATTGGGGAAAAAAGGAAACTTTTTTTTCTTTTGAGACAAGGCACTGTTCTGGCACCCAGGTGGAGTGCAGTGGTATGAACACAACCTACTGCAGCCTCAACCTCCCTAGCTCAAAAAATCCTCCCACCTCAGCCTCCTGAGTAGCTAGGACTACAGGTGCACACCACCAAACCTGGCTAATTTTATTTTTTGTAGAGACAGGGTGTCACTATGTTACTAAGACTGGTCTTGAACTTCTGGGCTCAGGCGATCTTCCTTGAAGCCCAGAAGATCCTTGGCCTCCCAAAGTGTTGAGACTACAAATATGAGCCACCATGCCCAGCCTGGTAACATTTTATAACACTGAAAACTGCACCCTATTCACTATTAGAGAGCATGAGAAGTTTTTTTTCATAGCTAGCAAGACAGACAAATAGTTGATCATCCTATTTTACATAAGCAGGCCTTTGTAAAGTGGCAGAATATTGGTTTACCTTTTGACTTGGCTATAAAATACTTGTTCAGTCATCCTCTAATAACTGGTCAGTACTTTCACTCAATCATTAAGAATTATACTTTATGTTTCTTATTTCCTTGTACAGCTATTTTTACCTCTCGAGAGAATTTGTCAAATAACCTTATGTGCTATCCTAATACAAAAGGATTGACATCTTTTGTGGTCTTAAATATTTATTTGAAGTTTGCTTGAGCATCAACTATTTCCGATCTTCTTGTTCAAGCTTTGTTCTAGTTTTTTATTTATGTCAAAAATGAACCTAAGCTACAAACACATCACGAACAGGAAAACATTTTGGCCCAAGAATATACTTGCACTTTAGGACCACTTTTTTAAAAATCCCATGAATTAGGAACTAAAAAAGAATTAAATCTAAGTAATATTATTGCAGCTTCATGGCACCACAGGGTAACTGCAACAGGCCTTACTACGAATTTACTGATCATAAATCAAGAGAATCATGGTACAGTCTGCAAGAAAAGGAAGACAGTAAATTGATAAATTCAGCAGATACCAGACCAAAACTAATAATTTGGTCAGTTGAGAATAAGGTCATAATTTAACAATAATTTATTACGATGCACTACTAGGCATGTTACCGAATAGAACATATGGATCTCTTAATCACTATTATACAAATTATACAAATAATTTCAAGATGCATTACATTTACTACTCAAGTATATGGAAGCCTGGTAAAATGTCTAAATTCTCTACCATGGGAATCATGGATGAGGGGATGAGGCCAGGGGGAGAATAGTTGAACCTAAATAAAAATAAAAATGTTACTGTTGTAAAAATGAGTTGAGATAGAAGGTTTCCAGATTTGCCTCAAAGGAAACACTAGAGTATACCAAGAATCAAGGAAAATACTGTGTCCTTATTTGTAGTTTAGTAACTGGTTATACAAATTTCTGAGTCAAGAGAAAGAAGAGGAAACACAAGCCCCTTGTATTTCATAATAAAATCCAAATCAGCGGCAGTAGGCAGCCCGTAAGAGTTTACTAAAATAAACCCTGTTACTAAAGTAATTTAAAGTCTCTTCTGCTTGCTTCATTCTCATATTCCCTAAATTCACTTTGGTACATCAGTAAGAATTTGCAAAATATACTTTTGTTATCTTTTTATTTTCACCTGTGGTATTACAGAATACCAGCATGCAAGAATTTATTCGGATATTATTACTTGGTTGCTAAAAACTGATCTTACTTTTATATGAAGTATTTAAAGTTCATTTATCTGAAATGAGCTATAGAAACAACTAGATATTCTGCAATCAGTACTCTAATTCTAGTCTATCACTAAATATGTGGTCTTAGATCAGCATTAATATTTATGAATTTTAGTTTTCTACATCTGTAGAATGGAAATTTTAATTTAATAATCAAAGTTTATGTAGCATGGGATTTAGAAAGGTCTAAATCAAGCTTGTCCAACCTGCAGTCCATCAGCTTCATTTGGCCCAGGATGGCTCTGAATGCGGCTCAACAGAAATTTGTAAATTTTCTTAAAATGCTATGAGATTTTATTTATTTATGCACATCAGTTATCGTTAGTATATTTTATGTGTGGTCCAAGACAATTCTTCCACTGTGGCCCCGGGAAGCCAAAAGATTGGACACCCTGATCTAAATGATCACAGTAAGCTATTTTTTCAATAAAAATGTTAGATATAAGAAATTCTTACTTGATTTTGGAAAGTTTCTGTAAAATAACACTGAGTTTTTCAAGTATCTGAAGATCAAGCTTAGGGGCTCGAAGGAGCACAGAGCAAGTACGAAAAAATGAAGAGTTGCTGCAGGCTTCCAGGAAAGGCTGCAAGGATTCTGCAAAACAAATCAACAGTGCTTCACCGTTAGGGAGTAGCTAAAAAGGAAATTAAAAACAAATTAAAATCAGAACTACGTGAGGTGTTTATAAATATTCATTTAGATTTTCATTCTTTTCATGCTTAAATTTTTGGGTGAAAATATCATTTGAAAAATTAAAACATCCATTGGCTCTTATTCAACATTGCAAACAAAAGATAAGATTATTTACCCTAATATTTTCTATTAGGCAAAATCTAGAAGAAATCCCATGTTTGAAAGAAAGGAGGAAAGTCATTTCCTCAGTAATTTCATAACAATAAGTTCAGTTTAAACACAATAATTAGCAACAAGAAATTCTACTTAAGTAGTAAATTAAAAAAACAAAAATCAAATCAAAGCACCCCCAAATTTAAGAATTTCACTTGAAAATCAATGACAATTTTCATAGTCACTGGATAAGAAAGAAAATTTTAGAGAATAAAAGCAAAAAGGGAAAAGATTCACTTAAAAAAGACTAGTCTCACATTTAATTTAGATGACACTCTGGACTTTTAAGTTGAAGCTGTTACAAGACTTGTGGGGCTATTTAGATGAAATGAATTATTTTGTTTATGAGAAGGACATGAGATGTGGGGGCCTGCAGGCCCCCACATTCAATGCTATAGCTTGAATGCCTGTCCCCTTCTAAAACTCATGTTGAAATTTAATTGCCATTGTAATAGTATTAAGAGTTGGGACCTTTAAGAAGAGGCGATAAGGCCATTAGGCTCCACCCTCATGTGAGAGTGCAGCTCTCTCTTGCTCTTTCGTTCTCTCTTCTCCTGCCAGGTGATGATGCAACAAGAAGCCCTTGGATGCCAGCACCTTGATACTGGATTTCCCAGCCTCTAGAATATGAGAATATATTAAACTTCTGTTCATTATAACTTACCCAGTATCAGGTATTCTGCTATTGTAGGATAAAACAGACTAAGTGGTATATGCTAGGAATGAAGCACTAGAAACAATGGTTATGTGCCCTTTGCATATAATTATGTGGTAAAAGTAGGGTAACCAAATTCATTACTTTCACAGTAGTAGTTCAACCCAAGCATGGTCTAAACATAGTTTACCGAGGGGGTGTGTGTGTGTGTGTGTGTGTGTGTGACAGAGACAGAGCATCCATGTGAGAGAGTTACACAAAATCTTATAGACTAAAAACAGGTCACAGATATAGTACACATAATCTACAAATAGAGCTAAAAATAAATCAACTGAAATTTCAAGCAGCCTCATTAAACAACTGTACACAGTTTTAGTTCAGGTCCTGAGATGATTCATATGAACTGTAAACAAGAAAGTTAACTGTTATATAGCTAACAGAATTCAAACCAGTGCTTAAAGAACAACCTAAATCGGCCAGGCACAGTAGCTCATGCCTGTAATCCCTGCATTTTGGGAGGCTGAGGTGGGCGGATCACCTGAGGTCAAGAGTTTGAGACCAGCCTGACCAACATGGCGAAACCCGTCTCTATCAAAAATACAAAAAATTAGCTGGGTGTGGTGGCAGGTACCTATAATCCCAGCTGCTAGGGAGGCTGAGGCAGAAGAATCGCTTGAACACAGGAGGCGGAGACTGCAGTTAGCCGAGATCGTACCACTGCACTCCAGCCTGGGTGAAAAGAGCGAAACTCCGTCTCAAAAAAAAAAAAAAAAGAAAGAAAGAAAAGAACAATGTGAATCATTACCAGAAAGGTATCTGAGGGGTTCTTAACATACCTACAACCTACAATATCAATTTTATCAATCAAAAAGCCCACAGAAAGCACACAAGAAAATTATAATCGTTTTTCTGTATACTGCAAAAGCATGAAAGATAATACACCTTACTTTATTTTACTATACTTTATATCTAAAATGTGGCAGAACATTTTAACATATCAGCATATTTTAAAAGTGAAACTTGTACAGGTCTTTTAGAGTAAAAGAAGTTCACTGGTTTGGGTTCTAATTCTCTTTTAAAGCTGTGAGGCAGATGTAAAATACAGGAGAGAAAAAGTTCTGAGATTCTTAGATGAGACAGGCTAAATATAAAATCAAAACATTGTGGTTTTAACATTTTTTCAATACTACAATGTTCAAATTGATTACATTCTTCAAGTTTAGAATTTCAACCTGAGTAACTTGGTGTTACAGACTGAACATTTGTGTTGCCCTCTAAATTCCTATGTTGAAATCCTAACCCCACTGTGATAGTTATTAGGGGTTGGGTCCTATGGCAGGTAATTTCAGCCTAAGGGTGGAACCCCCATGATTTAGTGCTCACTATAATCTGAATGTCCTTCTCAAACTTCCTATGTTAAAACTCCCAAGGTGATGGTTTTCAGAGGAGGGGACTTGGGAGATAATTAGGTCATGAAGGCTCTACCCTCATGAATAGGATTAGTACCATTATAAGAAAGGTTTAAGGAAGCCTGTTTGCCCGTTCTGTGATGCTACAACTAGAAGGTACCACCTATGAGAAACAGGCCCTTACCAGACCCTGAATCTGCTCATGCCTTGGTTTTAGACTTCCCAGCCCCTAGAAATGTGAACAATAAATTTGTTTATAAATTATCCAGTCTGAGAATTTTTTTATAGGAGCCTGAACATAATAAGACAGAAGCTGGCACCAGTAGCGTGGTGCTGCCGTAACAAACACCTAAAAATGTGGAAATAACTTTGGAACTGGGTTATAGGTAGAGGCTGGGAGAATATAGATGGGCATGCTAGAAAAAGCCTACATTGCTGTGGAAGGAGCATTAAGAGTGGTGAGGGCTCAAAAGAGGAGAACTGCTGAGAAAGCTTCAATCGTCTTAGAGATCATGGTCACAGTCAAAATGTTGGATGGTAAAGGCCATTCTAATGAGGTCTCAGAAAAAAAAATGAGAAAAATGTTACTAGAAACGGAAGAAAAGGTGATCTTGTAATAAAGTGGCAAAGAACCTGACTGGATTGTGCTTGAGTCCTAGTGTTCTGTAGAAGCAGTCTGAGAGTGATGAAACAGGATATTTAGTGGAAAAAAATATCCAAGCAAAGTCTTGAGGGTGCTTTGTGGCTTCTCTTGACTTATAGTAAAATGTGAGAAGATAGAAACAAATAAAAGATTAAATCTATAATCACAAGGGAAGCAGAATTTAAAGATTTGGAAAATTCTCAGCCTAGCCATGTAAAGAATGATACAGCTTGTTCAGGAGAGAAACCAAAGGCATGGTGCAAGCATCTGTTAAGGAGATTCATGTGGATGGAAGGAAGCCACATGCTATTCATTGAGACAATGGGAGAATGACCAGTAAGGTATTTCAGAGATGTTCAGAGCTGCCCTGCCCATCACAGACCCAGAACCCCAGGGCCTTGTGGCAGAACAATTTCAAGGCTCTGTTCACTAAATTCTGGTGCAGTGCTCCTTGGTTACCCCAGCTGTTGCTCAAGTAGGCTCAGGTGCAACTCAGATCACCCTCCTAGAAGGCAAAGGTGATAAACCTTGGCATGGTGTTTGCACATGCCATTTCCACAGGTGTGAAAAGTGCATGAGCTATGATAGTGTGGCTGCCTCCACCTATATTTCAAAAGATGCCAGAAAAGCCTGAGTATCCAGGCTGAGAGCTGTCATGGGACAGAGCCACTGCAGAGAGCCCCCATAGAGTAGTCCGAAGTACAGGTGTGAAGGCAGAATCACCACAGAAAGCCTCCACTAGGGCAATGCTCAGACATAACATGGATTGGGGCTGTCTCTGAAACCTGGAAGGGTAGGGCCCACCAGTGTGCAACTCCAGCCTTTGAGAGACACAAGGCTCCAACCTGTGAGAGCTGCAGCATGGTCTGTGCCCTGCAAAAATATAGGGCAGTGTCCCCCAGAACTTTGAGGCTCGATATGGTTTGGATATTTGTGCCCTCCAAATCTCACATTAAAATGTAATCCCCACTATTGGAGGTGGGGCCTGGTGGGAGGTGTTTCGATCACTAGGGTGCATCCCTCAATGAATAGTTCAGCATCACGCCCTTGGTGATGAGTGAGTTCACAAGCAATCTGCTTGTTAAAGAGTATGTGGCACCTTCTTCCTCTCTTCTGTGCCTGCTCTTCCATGTGACTTGCTGGCTCCCTGCTGACTTCTACCATGATTGTGAGCTTCCTGAGGCCCATACCAGAAGCAGATGGCAGCGCCATGCTTCCTGTACACCCTGCAGAACCATAAGACAAAATAAAACGTCTTTTATTTATAAATTACCCAATCTCAGGTATTCCTTTACAGCAACACAAGTCCGGCCCCCGGGGTGTCCACAGGCAGGACATGGAATCAAAGATTACTCTTGAGCCTTAAGATTTAATGCTGTTTGCCTTGTTGCTTTTAGACTGGCTTGGGATTTATCTATCATTCCTTTCTTCCTATTTTTCCCTTTTGGAATGGAAATGTCTATGCTATGCCTGTCCCACCACTGTGTTCTGAATGCACATAACCTGTTTCATTTCACAGGCTCACAGCTTGAGAGCAACTGGCCTCAACGATGACTCACACTATGAGTCTCATCCACATCTGAGTTAAATGACATTAGGTCAAACTCTGGACTTTAGACTTCTTAGTTGGTGATGGAATAAGTTAAGAGTTTTGGGGTACTGGCACAGAATGAATGTATTCTTCATGTGAGAAGGACATAAATTTTGGAGGCCAATGGCAGAATGCTATGGTGGGGAAGGAGGAAGAGGAGGGAGGAAGAGGAAATGATCGGACTCTTCTCTAACTTCTCTGAGGCAACAATGAACGCCAGAAGACAACAAAGTAACGTGTACTAAGCTCCAAACAAAAGCAAAAGAGATTATAAACTACTCAGCCAAGATCTGGTTAAGTATAAAAGCCCCAGGTATTCTCAAACATGAAGTACCTCTTTAAATTGGTGGAGGGAAATAGGGCAAAGTATGTGTGAGAGAGGGGAATTAAAAGATCATTCAAAATTAAGAACACAGTCATGGAGAAGCTACAGTAAAATAACTAGTCTTG